AAGCGGAAACTTTACAGCGCCGTCCCCGGTCGCAAGTTCATCGCGGTGAAGGCGCACACCCCGCAGGGCGAGGGCGAGATCCCGCTGCACCGCGGAGAGGCCGTGAAGGGTGAGGGCCAGCGGGGGCGGGGCCGCGCGGCGCTGGGGCGCACGGCCGCCGGCGCGCAGCTGGGGCCAGGGGGCCTGCCCCTCACTGGGGCGTCCCTGGGAACCCCGAACTGCGGTGGCCATCGAGGGGTGCATCTGCCAGGGGGACCCCTTGTGCCACTGAGAAGGGCTTGGGGCAGGGAGGGGCGGCTGTCTGTAGGTCCCTCCTGGACCTCTGTCGTTTGGGGTTCCTGTGTCAGGGTAGGGGTTCTGCTTGTCCTAGGGTGTTACCGTGCCATGGGGCTGGTTGTGTCACTGGGCTCACTCTGTGTCTGGAGGGCTCGCCTCATGTGCTGGGGTTTTTGTCAGTTCTGGATTCTGTGACATGGGACACCCTGTGCCATTATGAGGCTGCTCGTTGTGGGGGTGTCTCCAGCGTGAGCGGTCCTGTTCTGAGGGCTCTGGAGGGTTCTGAACCATGACAGCTCCTCTCAATGTGGAGATGTCTCATTACTGGGGTCCTGTCTTCTGGGTTACCCCACATCCATGGGAGCTGAGGAAGCCGTAGAGTTGTAAGGATGGGGTCTCCTCAAGCTTGTCATGTCACCTAGTCCTCTGGGCACAATGTGATGACTTGAGCTCTTGGCAGTGACCCCTGGGGTGGGTGACAGGGACGACGGGGCATAGCTCACGAGGTGGGTAGAGAGTGGTGTGTGGGGTGGGATGGGAGCAGCTGTTGGTCCCGTCCTCCGTGTCCTCCTGCCTGTGAGTCTGTGCATCTGTGTCTCTCTGTCCCCCACATGCGTGTCCATCTGTGTCTCTCTGTCCCCCACATGCGTGCCCTGTGCCGTCCCCATCTGTTCCCCTCTCTTTGTGTTGGTCCCAAGGCCTTCCCAGGGAGGAGTCGGGAGCACTGGGAAGGGAGGGGAAAGGACAGGGAGAAGGGGGGAGGGGAGGGGGAGGGCACCTGAGCCTGGGCTGGGGGGAACCTGTGGGTGCAGGCTGGGCCTCTGTGCCCTAATGGCTTGTCTGGCTCTGTCCCTCCAGTGCTGAGCATCGGGGAGGGCGGTTTCTGGGAGGGGACCGTGAAAGGCCGCACAGGCTGGTTCCCGGCCGACTGCGTGGAGGAGGTGCAGATGAGGCAGTATGACACGCGGCATGGTGAGTGACCTGTGCATGCTGGCAGCGCCCGTGGGCACGTCCTTTCCCAGGGCCCCTTGGTCTTGCTTGGAGTTAAGTCCACGTGGTGTCCATACAGAAGGGACTAGAAGTAGATTCAAGTGTGCCTCCAAGTGCATGCAAACTCCTTTATTAACACAGATACACGTAGGTGTGCACCTCTGTACGCATTTATAAGCACTTGTGCCAGTAACAGGTGCATGTACAAGAAACATACATGTCACATACAGTGAAGATATGTGACGTGTCTACAGAACACATATGCTGTATGGATGCATACTCGTGTGCAAGAAAATGCCTGAGTGCTCACACCCTTGAGCTGGCCCCATGTGGGTCACACACATGCTAGGTGCTTGGAGATGCCACTCCTGCCTGGCTGGAGGGCAAGTAAAGGAGGTCACCATGCGAAAAGAGGCATCTGGCCAAGGTGGACAGATTGTCCGAGTGGGCAGAGCAGAGAGGCTGGGACCAGCCAAGAGGAAATGAGGCCAGTTAGATCCAGAGGGGCTGTCCTGGGTGCCCCACAACCAGGAGGGGCTGGAACAGGGCATCAGGTGAGGGATGGGGACATGGGCTGTCCTGGGTGCTCCGAGGCCAGGAGGGGCTGAAATGGCACCAGGCGAGGGATGGGGACGTGCAGGCACAGATGCAGCATGTTACCCCCTGGGCAGGAGAGACCTCAGTCCAGCTCCTTAGAGTGTCCCTTGATCTCTGGGGTTCCTGCTGGTGGAGAGTAAGGATGGCCCTTTTGAGTCCCCAGGCCAGGAGTCACTGTCAGTTTGGGGCCATGCCTTGTAGTAGGTCTCATGGTCCTCATAGGTCATCACTCCTCCTGTAAGCTGGTGGGACAAGGGAACCCTGCCCAAGTGGTGGCCACCTGCAGGCGAAAGCAGTGTGGAGCAAGTGTGTGTATGTAGGATGTCTGGAGTGCGTGCATGTGTGTCTGGAGCATGAGCCTGTGATGTGTGTGGAATGCATGTCTGTAGTGTGGTGTGTCTGGAGCAAGTGTCCGCAGCATGTATGTGTGACATGGTGTGTTTGGACACATGTATGTGGTGAGATGGGTCTGGAGCATGTACACGCGATGTAGTGTGTCAAGCGTGTGTGCGTGGTGTGGCATGTCTGGAGCATGTGCATGTGATGTGCTTGGAGCACGTGTGCGTGATGTCGAGTGTGCACGTGGTATGGTGTGTCTGGAGTGTGTGGTGTGTGGATATGTGCATGTGTCTGGATGTGTGTGTGTGGTGTGTGTGGAGTGCATGTGTGGCATGTTTTATCTGGAGAGTGTGCATGTGGCATGGTGTGTTTGGAATGTGTATGCGTGGCGTGTATCCGGACCCTGTTCGTGTGACGTGTATGTGAAGAGTACGCACGCACACATGTGTGTGTCTGTATGTGACATGTATTGAGTGTGTGTGTGGCATGGTGTATATGGAGTATGTGAGATGTGTCTGGAGTGTGTGTGACATCTGAAGTGTGTGCCTGTGGCATGGTGTGTGGAGCATGTGTGTGGTGTGTGTCTGGATGTGCGTGTGGCGTGGTGTGTCAAGCCATGTGCATGTGATGTGTATTTGGAGTGTGTGTGTATCAAGGACGTGTGTGTGGTGTGTGTCTGGAGCATGTGCATGTGGTATGTGTCTGGATTATGTGTGATGGTATGTCTGGAGTGTGTGTGTGTGGTGTGTGTCTGGGATATAAGCACATGGCATGTTTGGAGCATGTGGATGTGATGTGTATTTGGAGCGTGTGTGATGTGTATCGATGTGTGTGTGGTGTGTGTCTGGAGCTCGTGTGTGTGACGTGTTTGGAGCATGTGATGTGTACCTGGAACATGTGCATGTGATGTGTGTATGGAGTGTATATGACATGTTTAGAGCACATGTGTGATGCATGTATGGGATGTGCGTGACATGTATCGAGCGTGTGTGGTATGTATCTGCACTGTGTGACATGTATCTGAAGTGTGTGCATGTGGCCTATCTGGACTATGTTTGTGTGATATGTCTGGAGAATGTGCATGTGATGTTTTGGAGTGTGCATGTGATGTGTCTGGGGCATGAGCGTGTGATGTATTGGGAGTGTGTGCTTGTGATGTGTGTCTGGGACGTGTGTGTGATGTGCGTCTGGAGTGTGTGCATGTGACATATCTTAAGTGTTCGTGTGACACATATCAACTGTGCTGTGTCTGAGACATGTGCGTGTGATATGTATGGAGTGTGTGTGTGTGTGTGATCTGTGTATGGAACATGTGATGTGTGTCTGGAGCATGTGCATGTGAGATGTGTCTGGAGCATGTGTGTGTGACTTCTGAAGCGTGTGTGTGTGATGTATCTGGAGTGTGTGTGTGAGACATGTCTGGAGTGTGATTTTTGGAGCATGTGTGTGTGACATGCCTGGAGTGTGTGCATGTGCTGTTTTGGAGTGTGAGCGTGTGACGGGTCGAGCATGTGATGTGATGTGTCCAGAGTGTGTATATGTGACGTGTGTCTGGAATGTGTGACGTGTGTCTAGAGTGTTATGTGACGTGTGTCTGGAATGTGTGTGATATGTCTAGAGCATGTGCATGTGACGTGTCTGGAGTGTGTGTGTGTGTGTGTGTGTGATGTGTGTCTAGAACTTGTGTGTGTGAGGTGTGTCGGGAGTATGTGAGTGGTATGTCTGGAATGTGTGCATGTGACATATCTGGAATGTGTGTGTATAATGTGTCTGGAACTTGTGCGTGTGATGTGTGTCTGCAGCATGTGCGTGACATGTCTAGAACATGTGCATGTGGCACATATCTGGAGCATGTATGTGTGTGACATGTGTCTGGAACACATATATGTATGGTGTGATGTGTCTGGACCTGTGTGTGTGGCATGCTGTGTTAGGTGTTCATCACGGGAGTAGGTTCCAGAGGTTGTGGCCATGCAGTTGCCATGACAGAGCATGACTGTGTGAGTGTGGACGTGTACCCATGACCACGGTGGCACCTGCGTTGGCCTGAGGGAGTCAAGGCAGGTTCCCAAGTGCAGGTGGGTTTGAGTTGAACCCTGGGGAGGGAGAGAAGGTCTCAGGTGGTCAGCAGGTGGGGGTGACAGAGTCCTGTGTGTACAGTGCGCCATGGTGCTGGCACCAAGAGTGCGCTGACTGCTCTGGGTTCCTGGGCCTTTCTTCCTGCGTGAGCAGCCACTGCCCTCCCAGTGGTTTGTGAGGCGAGCCTGTCACTAGTCCGCTGCCAAGGGGAAGAATCCCAGCCCCGAGGGGCTGGCTGGTCTGGTGTCTGTGGTCACTCCAGGCTCTTGTGTGCATAGCTGCTCCCTCCATGGGTGGCGTCAGTGGAGCTCTGTGTGCCACGAGGGGTGGACAGGGCTGTGGTGCTCAGGCCTGTAGAGGAGGGAGAGGGTGGCTGGGCTGGGGCTTGACCACAGCCACACACCCAGGGCAGTATGGCAGGTGGGATGCTGGGGGCAGCTCATTAGGGTTAGGATGAAGGCCTGGAAGGACAGAGCAGTGCGCGGGGAGTGGAGGGAGAGGGTGCGGATCCAGTGGGAGTTGGTGAAGGAACGGAAGACCTGGGGTGACAGTGGCCAGTGGGAGTAGCCCTGGCGTACGTCACCTGGGGGAGTGTTCTGGGGTGGGTGGGGCTGCCAGAATGGGTGGGAGCACCGGGCCCTCCTGTATGTTCAGCTGAGGCTGCTGTGAGCATGCTCTGACCTGGGGTTCAGGATCCAGTTCTGCCAGAGGCCAGAGGGCAGCTGAGGGACAGGAACCTGCTTCCAACAGGCCTATTTCCAACACAGATTGGTTTCTGGAACAGGAGTGGGGGCAGGGAAGGGCTGAGAAGCAAGGAGGGGCCTTGCTGGCTAGTCCTGGGCCAGGCAGCACTGGGGTTTGGAAGCGGGTCCTGCTACTCACCCAGGCCAACTTGGTGGAACTGTGGGCACAGTCTTCGGAGTTGACTAGGGAGGGGAGAGGTAAGATGAGTGGAGTTAGAGAGTGGTTTGCAGAGACCTCACCTGCTGACTGCCAGCCTGCGTCTCCCCATTCCACCTCTGCCCTTTCTTTCCTGTGTGGTTGTTTTGTGTCTTAGAGAGGTCCTGCTAACGTTTTTGCTTCAGCTTAGGTGTCTAACAAAACTGGAAAGTGGATTTGTGTTATGTAATAAATACAGTTTGTTTGGTTGATAAAATTTAAAGCTGTGAGGCTAGTGAACTGAGAAGCTCAGGAGTCCTTCTGCAGGTGGGGAGGCGCCATGAGCACTCCTGCGTCTGGGTCAGTGTGCAAGGGCCAAGGGGAGCGTGGAGGGTCTGATGCCCACCCGAGCAGTGTGGCTGGCCCAGGCGGCACCGGCCGTGGTTTCAGAAGGATGGGTGCACGTGGCCCCAGGTTGCGTGCAGGAAGAGAGGAAAGAAGTGAGTGCTGGGAGAACATCCAAAAACCCCAAACCACCCCCATTGCCATAGAGTGGATTCCAACTCACAGCACCCCTAGAGGACAGAGGAGAACTGACCATAGGGTTCCCAAGACTTTCCTTTACAGAAGCCAACTGCCACATCTTTCTCTGGGGAGTGGCTAGTGGGTTCAAACTGCTGACCTTTTGTTTAGCAGCCAAATGATTTAACCAGTGCACCACCAGAGGGCATCAAGAGGGGAAAGTACAGACATTAGAAGGGACTAGTTTTCTCCCTCTGAAACGGAGAAGTTCAAGAACACCATCAGCTTCCAGAGGGTCACAGTGTTAGTGGCAGGACCTCCAAATCCGGGCCAGTCTTCCTCCTTATATTTGTGATTCTGACTTTAACAGGGACCTGTTCTTCCTCCCTTCCACCCATTCACCAACCTGCTTTTATCTCCATCTGTCCTTTGACTCACCCACATTCTTTCCACCCACCTACTTACCCATCAACCTACGGATAGATCCACCTACCCACCCAGTCCATCCATCCACCCACCCAGCTGTCCACCCACCCAGTCCACCCGTCTACCCACCCAGCTATCCACCCACCTAGTCCGCCCGTCCACCCACCCAGCTGTCTTCCCACCCAGTCAACCCATCCACCCATCCCTCCCTCTCTGTCCACCCTGTTTTTCATCAGGTCACCACCATCCGTTCATCCCTATGTCCATCCTTTGACCCACCCGCCCACACATATATTGACTTACATAGCCATTTTGGTCCATCCATGCATCAGAGGTCCCTCTGGCCTTTGACCCACCCTCCGACACATCCACTCATCTGTTTGTCTATCAGTCTGTCCATCCAGTCAACATCTCAAGTGCCTTCTCTGTGCCAGGCACTGGGGTTACAGAGATTAAGGGGATATGCTCTTTATCCTCAAGGAGCTTACAATTAGTGGAGGATGTGGGTGGTCAGACATTGTAGGCCTCCCTTAAATGTGTTTCTTCTGGCCCAGCCCCACAGTCTATCTCTAGGCAGACTCCTGTCTGTGGGCTTTGTCTTGCTGGCCCCTCCCTGGAAGTCCTTCCCCTGTGTGTCCTTCACACTTTCACACTGCCCCCCAACCTAAGGCACCCCGAGCTGCAGCTGGTCCCTGCACCCCTCTTGTGTACACTTTTCTTTAAGCACTTACCAGCATTTCCCATCAGGATTTGATGCATTATGTTTTTACTTATTTTTGGTTAGTTTATTCTCTTTCCCAAAAAGCTTACAAACCCCAGGAGGACAGAGACAGTTCTGTTCTCTGCTGTGTTCCCAGAACCCAAAGCAGACAGTGCCTGGCACACAGTAGGAGCCCAGTAAGTACCATTGAACGAAGCCAGGGATCTTGAGAAATGCTGGTAGGAGGCAGCAGGGCAGAGCTGGTCCTTGTGGGGCAGGCGGCTGTGGTGGGACTTTGGGAGCCACTGTGTGCTGGGGAGCTGGGCTGGAGCCAGGAGGAGCAGTTGCGGTGCCAGGGTTGGGGGGCTTGACTCCAGTGGCTGCAGAAGCAGGTGTGGGGTACAGGGCACAGTGGGTTGGACCCCACAGCTGGCAGAACTCAGGAAGCCAGGGTGGAGCAGGTGACAGTGGCTATCCTGTGGGCCATGTGGGGCTCAGAGATCAAGAGGACAGATTGAGGGGAGTCCTGTGGGGGCAGTGATGTTAGGGAGGTCCCCCAGCCACCTCCCACTCCCTACTCCTGGACTTCCAGTCCCACTCAGGCTGGAGCAAGGGACCCCATGAGGCTGAGGGCAAAAATGGTTTAGAAGTAAGAATCCATTGACGCCCGAGGTTATACCAGTACAAAGCATGGCCCATACACATGACTGTGGGTCATGGACATGCACAGACACACACATGCACATGTGAACACAGCATACACACAACTGTGGGTCACAGACACACATGCACACACATGAACACAGCACTTAACACAAAACTGTGGGTCACAGACACACATATGCACACATATGAACACAATACTTAACACACAACTATGGGTCAGAGAGACACACCAATACACACACATGCACACATATGAGCACAGCACTTAACACACAGCTGTGGGTCACAGACACACACATGCATACATGTGAACACAGCACTTAGAAATAACTGTAGGTCACAGACACGGACACATCACACATGCATGCACATATGTGAGCACAGCACTTACACAGGACTGGGCCACAGGCAGACACACACACAAACATATCATTTACACAGACACAGACACACACACACATGAGCACAGCACTTAACACACGACTGGGTCACGGACAGACATACACACACACATGAGCGCAGCACTTACAATTGATTGTGGGTCACAGACACTCAGACACACATGCACACCTCCATAAGCACAACACTTCACACAACTGGACAGACATATGCATATGCACACATGAGCACAGCACTTACCCACAACTGGGTCATGGACAGACAACGCATAAACACACAAAGAGCACTTACGACGGTGGGTCACAGACACGTATACACACATGTGAGTACAGCACTTACATGTGACTGTGGGTCACAGAAACTCCCAGACACACACACACACGCACACACACCCCAATGAGCACAGCACTTACACATGACTATGGACCATGCATAGACAGACACACACACGAGACAGCACTTACACATGACCGTGGATCATGGGTAGACAGACACATACACTTGAGTGTGGCACTTACGACTGGACTGTGGGCACAGATATGCATACACACACGTGAGCACAGCACTTATGTGTGACTGTGGACCATGGGTAGACAGACATACACTTGAGTGTGGCACTTACGACTGGACTGTGGGCACAGATATGCATACACACACATGAGCACGGCACTTGTGTGACTGTAGGTCACAGACACTCACATGCATGCACACACCCATGAGCACAGCACTTGTACATGACTGTGGGTCACAGACAGATACACATGAACACAGCATTCATGATTGGGTCACACACACACATACACACACATGAGCCCAGCACTTACACACAGCTGTGGATCATGGACACACCTGCACATACATGAGTACAGCCCTTACACCTGACTGAGGGTCACAGGCACACACACACATATACACACGAGCACAGCCCCTACCCACACTGTGGGGCATGGCCATGCAGACACAAGCACACACTCCCTGAGCCCAGGATTCCTTCTGCCTTCCTGCCCAGCCCCTCTGGGCTCCAGGGCCAGGTTTGGGCCCCTTCCATGTGGACACGCCGGCAGTGCAGGCAGATGGCTGCCATGGTTGGGGCAGTTCAGTCCAGTTGCAGGACATGACCCTCCATCAGCTCCTGAAACTCCCTCCAGAAACTCGGGAGGACCGGACCAAGCGGCTTTTCCGCCACTACACTGTGGGCTCCTATGACAGTCTCACGTCCCACAGGTACGATGGCGTGGGGGCGTGGACATGCCAGGGATGCTGCTGGGGGCATGTGGATGGGAAGGGAGGGTGGCACTGGCTGGATGGGAGGCCACCCGTGGAGGCTCAGGTCAGAGGGCAAGGAGAGTGGGTGGGCCGTGTCCCACTGGGCCCCATCTAGGATGTGGGAGGGTCAACTTGGCTTCCCCACACTCTTCTCTCTCTTCAGTGATTATGTCATCGAGGACAAGGTGGCTGTGTTGCAGAAGCGTGATCATGAGGGCTTTGGCTTTGTCCTCCGGGGGGCCAAAGGTGCTGGGCGGGGCCCTTGTGGAGGGGTGGGGCCAAAGGTGCTGGGTGGGGCCCTTGTGAAGGGGTGGGGCCAAAGGTGTTGGGTGGTGTCATTGTGAGGGGCGGGGCTGAGGGTGCTGGGTAGTGTTCTTGTGGAGGGGTGGGGCCGAGGGTTCTGGGTGGTGCCCTTGTGGAGGGGCGGGGCTGAGGGTGCTGGGCGGGACCTTCGTGGAAGGGGTGGATGGGGTGTGCTTGCTCTCAGAGTTTGTCTCCTGGCTCTTGTCCCTTTTCCCCTCTCCTGACTCACCCCTCCCAGCCCTCTGCCAAGGTGGTGACTGTAGTTTGTGTTTGGACCAACCCCAGCTTGAGTTCCGACTCTCGTGGGTTCTCCTATCTTTGCTGTCAAGGAGTCTTGTGCACCGGGGTCACTTTATGTGAGCAGGGAACTCTCGGAGGGAAGGGCTGCGTATCCTAGGGTCCTGTGCTGAGTGGCCCCCACACTGGGCTCTGCCAGCCCCTGCATCCCACGACTGCCCACTGACCCCCTTAACTACGTGTGGGAGGGGGCTGCACCTCCCACTGAGCCTGCCCCTTTGCAGCGGAGACCCCCATCGAGGAGTTCACGCCCACACCTGCCTTCCCTGCACTGCAGTACCTGGAATCAGTGGATGTGGAGGGCGTGGCCTGGAGGGCTGGGCTGCGCACTGGAGACTTCCTAATCGAGGTGAGGCCCGCTGGGCCGGCCTGCCCCCAGCCCACCCTGGCCCATCCCTGGCCCAACCCTGACCCCGGCCTGAGGGGGAGGCAGAGCAGCCTATGTGTCCACAGGTGAACGGTGTGAACGTGGTGAAGGTGGGCCACAAACAGGTGGTGGCCCTGATCCGTCAGGGTGGGAACCGCCTGGTCATGAAGGTCGTGTCAGTGACCAGGAAGCCCGAAGAAGACGGGTCTCGGCGCCGAGGTGAGAGCTTGGCCCTTGCCGCTTTCCCTGCTCTGACCCCAGACCGAGGGTGTCTGAACCTAGACCAGGGTCCTGGCCCCAACTCCAGAGTTAGATGGCTGACCCCAGCCTCAGACCCCAGACCCAGGTGGCCCCTCCTCAGGCTCACCTGACTTCCCTCCCTTAGGCTCCTCAGGGGGCCCACTCGGTCCTGCTCTGGGGCCCCTGCCCCCTCCTTCCTGGCTCCCCCAGCCCCTGGTGTGGCGGCCGCCCTCCTTCCGACACCGGCAGCAGCTGCCTGGAGGCCGGGGTTGCCATGGCAACGGTGAGGTTGATGCTGCGCTGCTGCCTTATTGTCGGAGGGAAGGGGGAGGCGGCACCTGAAGGGAAGAGGAGAGCGTCGTCTTGCCGCTTGCCGCGCCGTGGCGGCCGCAGCCTGGGCCCAGGAGTCTCTGCCAGCTTGGCCCAGCCCAGGCCCAGCAGCTGCAGCCGGCCACACCCGTGTCCCCCGAGAGGGTGGGGCCTCCTGGGCCCAAGGGCGCTCAGGGACAGCTGGAGCCGGGCCTGGGGGGAGACCCCTCCCAGCCCCCACTCCATGGCTCTGGTGCCCCCTGGCCTGGCCCTTGGAGCCTGCAGGGCAGGTGCCCAGGCCAGACACAGCGACCCCCACAGGAGCCCTTGACCACCCTCCCACGGTCCCAGCCCCAGGGGCCCCTCGAGCTCCCGCACCATGAAGAAGTTTGCATCCAGCCGTAGCCTCAACAAGATCCTCGCGCAGTGCGACTCCTCCTCACGGGAGTACGAGGAGGTCCAGGCAGTGGAGCGCAAGTGGCACCTGCACTTGGCCACGCCACGCCGCCTGCTGCTGGACAGGAGGCCCAAAGCCTCCCTCTTCTTTGCAGCCCCGCCTCCCCCCAAGAGGGCCCCCAGTACCACACTGACCCTGCGCTCCAAGTCCATGACTGCCGAACTGGAGGAGCTCGGTGAGTGGCGGGTGAGGCGGAGGTGGGTGGACCCAGGTGGGATGGGTGCAGGGATGGACAGGACAGACCTATGAACAGGTCAGAGGGCAAACCCATGGCACATTGTCGTGGTGGGGAACATCGGCAGTCTGTGGGGTAGGGCTTGGGCACTGGGCAGTGCTGAAGCAGGATGGGGATAACCTGGACGGATGTATTTGGGGAGGAGGATCTGGAACTCCAGGTGTGTTTTCCATGTGTGTGTGCATGTGTGTGCATGCATGTGCAGGATTGTGTGCGCGCATGTGTGCATTCTTGTGCGCACATGTATATGCATACTTGTATGTGTGCGTGCATGCTTGTGTGCCTGTGCCTGTGCACACTTCTGTGCGTGTACTCGTGTACCTGCATGCGAGTGTGCCTGTATGCGTGTGTATGAGTGTGCCTATGTGTGTGCATGTGTGGACTCGTGTGTGCACACATGTGTGAGCATGTCTGTGTGTGCGTGTGTGTGTGTGCATGGATGCATGTACCATATGTGTGCTCACCACATCTCTGCCCTGACTTGACTTCTACATCTCACCTAGTTGAGGAAAGCCAACTCTAAAGGGAGGAAGGAGCACAAATCGGGACCTGGCTCTGCCCAGCTCTACCAGGCACTTGCTGAGTGACCTTTGATTTTTCTTTACCTTCTCTGTGCTTGTCTGCTCATCAGTCAGGTGGAAAATGGCACTGCTTACCTCCCAGGGCTGTCGTGACACTCAGAGTGCTGACGAGGAAGGTCTGCCTGCACTGTGGAGGGGTGGACAAGAGGGTGTTGGGATTTTGATAGGAACTCATCATGGGTGTGGCTTGATTTGATGTGAGTATTAATGACCTTGTAGGCATATCCTGATGTACGTGACTGTTAGCAGCCTCATCACAGACATGTGCTGACACATATGACCATTAACAGCCTCATTGTGGGCATGGCCTGAACATACATGACTATGAATAGCATTCTTGTTTTCTATAGTGTGAGCCCAACCCTAGCCCTGGACTTAGCTCTGCTCGCAGCTGTAGAAGGAACCCTGACTCCCAAAATGATCTTGACCTTACATGTGACCTGAGCCCTGACCTTAGCCACAGACTGAGCCCACCCTCCACCCCAAACAAGTGCTCTTGGCTGTAGTTTAGTTGAATGCCGGAATACCAAGATAGGCTGGATTGACATGGGTTAGGGTTTCCTTTTCCCTAGATACTCCAAGGAGCTCTGGTGGCATAGTGCCTAAGGCATTTGACTGCTAATCAGAAGGCTGGCGGTTCAAACCCACGAGCCAGTCCTCAGAAGGAAGGTTAGAGAATCTACTTCTGTAGAGATACTACCTCAGAAACCCAAGGAGGGGAGGTCACTATGAGTCAGATCCGACTTGATGGCAGGGAGTTTGGTTTGGTTTTGGAAATACTCCAGGTAAAATAAAGCTTAATATACAGTGATAGTAATAATAATAATAATAATAATAACACAATCAACTCAATAAAAGGAAGAGATATCCCTGGGCTTCAAGGTTGAAGGGAGCAGTGAGAGCTCAGGGAGGGAGAGGAAGCTGACGCCTGCTCAGCCCTCGGGACCTGCGGACTGGATGTAGGTCCCAAGGGTTGGGTTTAGGGTCTCATGCCTCCATGAGGTCAGGAGATACAACTGCGGACTCAGGGGAAATGAGAAAGCTAGAACCAAGCCTAAGGACTGGAATTAGCATCAAAAGAACTGGAAGTCGTAGAATAACGTGAAAGGGATAGTAATCATAGACAAACATGAAAGAGACAAGAAGTTTATTAAGATTAAAAGAAATAACAGAACTCATAAATAAAGCAGAATAGGATAGTACAAAAAAACCAGAAAACAAAACAAAACAAAAAATGAAAGCAGGTTTTGGAAGGATCCCAAAGAACTTTTATTGAAATAAAATAAGTTACTGAGATTAAAAACTCCATACTCAAAATTGACTGCTGTCGAGTCGGATGTGACTCATAGTGGGACCCTTCCTTGGGTTTCTGAGGCAGTATCTCTAAGGAAGTAGATTGCCCAGTCTTCCTTCTGAGGAGCAGCCTTCTGGTTAGCAGTCAAGTGCCTTAGGCACTATGCTACTACAGCTCCTTAAAAACAGCATGGATGGAATAAATACTAAATGTTGAAGAAAGAAAGAATGAATGGGAAGAGAAATCAGAGTATTACTGAGAATGCAGCACCAAAAATAAGGAGATGGAAAATATCAAAGAGCAGTTGAGAGACATGCAGGACAAACAAGAAAATCTGAGCATCTACCTCAGGAATGGGAATTCCTGAGGGAAGGAATAAAGTGAATGGAGAAAACCAAACCAAACCCGCTGCCATTGAGTAGATTCTGACTCATAGCAACCCCTGTTGGATTTCCAAGGCTGTAAATCTTTATAAAAGTAGATTTCCCCATCTTCCGCCTGCTGAATGGCTGTTGATGGGTTTGAACCACCAACTTTCTGGTTAGTAGCCAAATGCCTTAGACATGACGCTACCAGAGCCCCTCAAATGAATGGAAAATAAACAATATTTGACGAGTACATGGCTAAGAGTTTTCCAGAATTGAGTAAAGACCTGACTTTCCAGTTTGAAAACATGTAATTCAAGAGTGGGAAAATAAAAACAAACCAGCATTCAGACCCTTAACAGTAAATGGCATAAAACCAAGGACAAAATTGTAAAAAAAATTACCAGAGAGGAAAGCCAGGGTATCGGTAAAGGAATGATGGTTAAATTGACAGCTGACTTCTCTTTGGCAGTAATAGATGCTAGTGAATGATGGAATGATTCTTCCACAGTCTTCAGGCGAAATAACTAAAAAGTTCTCCACCTAGAATTCTGTACTATCTAAACTCATTCATTCAAGAGTGAAACACAGAAGCCACCTTCTGGCCCCAGAGTCTCAAGGGTCCAGGGCCAGTCACAGGGAACTGACCTATCACACTGACTGTGGATCCAAAGTGACAAACCAGCAGTCAGCTGGGTCTGGCGGGGCACCAAACCAAGGACCGAGGCCTGGAGCCTCCTGCCAGAGGTGGTCACATGATCCCATTCAGCTGCATGTCCAGAAGGAACCCTCCTAATTCCACACAGAGAGGGCCTTATGCAGCCTGAGATTCATAATCCTGGGACCAGGGACTCTGCTTTGTGGAAGCAGTACAATTGCCTTCTGCTTTCTGAGCTGTTTCTGTCTGAAGAGCTAAGGCCAGTGAACAAAGCAGCCCTTCCTCCTCCCTCTTTCCCCCTGACTTGGGCTCCCACCACCTCTGGTACCATTCCCTACATGGCTGCTTCAAGCTGTTCTGTAGACTTGTCTTCTAGGAGATCACGTGTGTGGCTTTAGGTCAGCATCATCCCACCAGTGCTTCTCTGAGTGTCTATCCATGCTGCTGGGTGAGAAGCATGACTTGTGTGGAGGTGGGCCCAAGCTCTTCCCTTTGCCCTGTTCAGAGAACTTGGCAGCCCCCTGCTCCAGAGGGCAGACATCCTGGGGTGTCAGCCCCTTGTACTGACCTGACCAGTCACTCTGGAAATGTCTTGTGTGAGGAGGACCAGGCCAGCATCAGAATTTCCCCTGGTGCCCAAGGATCAGCCTAAGTCCAGCCATTGGTGCTTTTAAAGGATAGAAAGTCAACCTGTTGGTTCATTCTCAGAAACAAGTCAGCCCTGTGAGTCACAGTGTTGAGCTGTGGACACCCACAGGACCCCGCTGTCTTTTGAGGAAGGAGACTGGACACTTGGGAAGAAAGGAAGTGTAAGGTGACAAAGCAGATGACAAGGGTGGCCTTGTGCTGGCAGAGGATGTGGGAAGGGACTGTAGAGGGGGAGAATCCTGGTGGGGGGACGATGTGAGCAGAAGCTGAAAAGGAATGGTTGAGTTGGGGATGAGATGAAGAGGTGGGTGGAGACTCTCCTCCTGAGACAGGTGGTAGAAGGGTAGAAGGCAGTTCTCCGGGTTTCCGCATGCCCATGTGTTCAGCTTGAGCCAAGGATATGCTGAGGCCTGATTTCACTGTACATCACTTCTTGGGTCCCTTTCATTTTGTGATGAGAACAGGAAGGAGCCCATGAGGGCAGGCACCACACCAACCATGCAGTCTCGTGACTGGCCTCAGTTTGGGAAAGGTTGCTTGGCCAAATACCTGGCTGCCCTGTGTGTAGAACAGAGCTTTGGTAGCCACCCTAGGCAGCAGTGGCTTCTGAACGTGGCTTTTAGAGAGGTTTCTCCTCTTTTCTGAACAAACATTTGAATTGAGAATGGTTTAACTCCGAGGGAATTCTCTGTGTGGATGTTCGTGCATGCATGTGGTGCATGGATGCGTGTGTGTATGTGGACATATATGTGTGTGTGCGCATGCAGGAGCATGTGCGCTGTGTGTGTACACATACATGTGTATTATGTGTGTATGTGTGTATGTGTATGCACATGTGCATGCATATGTCCCTCCTTAGGGTTGTTTCTGAGTTTTGAGCTGTGTAATGATTTGGCTTTTGGAAGATATACCCTTGGCAGTCTGATATGGAAGTAGAGGTTAGGATACTGGGGTGGGGGTCCTGGTTGATGGGTGAGAGGTGTGGGATGGAAATAGCATGGGAATGGGTGCTGGGGTTGAAGCTGCCTCTTACCCCCTTTGCTCTGTTTCTTGATTCCAAGCCTCAATTCGGAGAAGGAAAGGGGGTGAGTCACCTACTATGGGGCCTCAGAATCCCAGGGCCCAGCTTTCCCTGACCCTGTCCACGGGTGTGCTGGTGGCAGGAGGGTCTGGTTCTAGTCATTACCATGACTAGATTCTAAAGGCCTGGGATGCACCCTCCTGGGAACCACCTCCTAGAATTGGTGGAAGGCCACTTGTAGGCACTGGGCAGAAGGCTCAGGATACCTGCCCTGGGAAGAGGAGAGGGCTTGGCAAAGCTCTGGGCCTCGAGGCTGAGAGCTGAGCTAGGTGATGGAGGAAGTTCCTGGCCTTGGGAAGCCCATACAGGGCATGCGGGATGAGGGTGGTTATTCTGATGAGGAAGAGTTGTAAAAATGGCAGCGTGAGGAGATCTGACCTCCTCTAGTTGCATGGTTGGGAGGAGAATCATTATCAGCACCAATAGCCCAAGGCTGATTCCTATGAAGTGGAGGTCAGACAGACCTCCCTCCAACCTTTTCACCAACTCTGACATCAGCTGTCCCTCCCACGGCACTCTACTCTACTGGGTTCAACAATTCGTTGTAACGGTCATACAGAACTCACAGGCCATACTCACAATAATAGAGTTTATTAGGGAAGTAACAGGTTACAATTCATCAGGAATGACTCGGGATACAGTTCTGCCCTAGGCAGGCCTCTCGGCCCTTGGCTTCTTGGGCCTTTTGGGCTGTTCCAGCCTCTGCTCTGCTTGGGCAAGTGTTACAAAGCTCTTCAACTCCACCGATAATTACTTGGAGGCACCCCACTCTGCCAGTAAGCCTTGGCCTGTAGGCACTGAGCTCTGTGGGTTGGCAAGGCTAACAACTGTGAGCGAGCGCCCAGAGGCACCCCACTCTGCCAGCAAGCCTCCTGCCCACAGGCACTCGGTGCTTGGGCTCTGTGGGCCACAGAGCTCACCTGCTGTGTCGGTGGGTCTCCTGATTCTGCTGCCTCTGCTCCTGTCACTTCCCTGTTGCTGCTTCTCACCGTCCTGGTTTCAGTTCTCGCTTTCTGTCTTCTGGGTCTAGTCGGTTCTCAGCTCAGGGATCCTGTGTCCAAAGGATACATTCCACTCCTGTCTCTTCTTGGTGGTAGTGAGGCCCTCCTTTCTGCCTCTGGGATGGCTCATGTGAAGGCCAGCAGATGGCAAAATGGACCAGTCCTCTCGTTAGGGTTCCATACACCTTATTTGCACGGTCCCACTCCCACAAGAGTGCCATTCACCTTATTTGTATTATTAGCAAGCTGTCCAATCCCTTTGGTGGGCAATAAGCACTTTATTTTCATAATCCCACCCAGTCATTTGGTGGGAGTTATGAACTATAGCAAGAAAGGACATAGAAAAACAACCCATCACACCACAAGGGTCCAGCCGTGGAGCCTGCAGGGCACAGTGATTGGGACCACGGTGTGCAGTGTCTAGGGGTGGTGTCAGCTGTCCTCATTGGTCCTGCCATCCCTGGGGGGCCCTGTTCCTGACTGGGCCCACAGTACGGGAGCCGCCCTCCCTTCAGGCCCAGGGACTTTCTGGTCCTACCCCCACTGCCTCTGGTGCTCCTCCCTGTGTATCCAACCTGACCAGCAGTGGACATGGAGTCCGTATAGGTGATTGTCACCAGGACTGGTCTGGAGTGGTCACAGGGCCTAACTTCTGCTGGCCCCCTCCACCCCTCTGGGTGGGATGCCTCCCTTTCTACACAGAAGTCAAGGGGCCAAATGGGGCTGGAGGTAGCTTTAGTCTCAGGCACTTGCTGAGTTTTGCCTGGGCCAGCTTGGACCCCTCTGTCCCAGCCCTGCCTCCTGCTCCTCCTCACCTGCGAGTAGGTGTGCTCACTGTCCGAGGCCCAGCCTTTCACCTCTCACTCTGGGGACCCAGCACTGCTGCTGGCTGTCCTGTGTGACTGGTGTCCCTGTCCCCTTTCGCGCTCTGCAGCCTGCTGGCTGTCCCCGCCCCTGGTCTCTCCTCACAGGTATTAAAGCAGATTCCAAGTTCTCCTCCAGTGACTCCTGTCTCTTCCCCAGTCTCTGGGGCAGACCCCAACTATTTCTGGAATATTCTGGCTCTGTCCTCCAGCTCACCAGTGGGTCCCCTGGGTGCTGTGTGGTCTCTTGCAGGGGCAGTGGTTGTGACTCAGTCATTCCTGTTTGGGTAGCCATGTAATGAGGCTTGGTGGTCACCAGTGCCCAGACCTGACCCCTGGGCAGCTTCATTTTCTTCTCAGAGTCATTTAGGAATTCATGTGGCAGTTTTGCTGGGGATAGTGTCAACCCCAGCAGCTTGTGGTGTGTAGGATCCTAGATCCCTTCCTTCATGCAGTCTTACCTGGCCCAGCGGCACTGCCTGTGGTAGCTACTGTGTTCACGCCACTGTTTTGGGTCCCTGGGAGCTCAGGTGGCCATGCCCACCTGGTGAGCTAGGGCCCTGTGTGTCCCCAGCTTGTGTCCTGGTGTCTTTAGCCCTGTGGCTCAGTTGTACATGGCTTCATCTGATCTCTGCTCTTTGGACTGTGGTTGGGTCCTTTGCTCTCTTCTGAGCTTCAGTGTCCTCATGGGCAAAGTGGGGGAAGAGAGTGTCTTCATGAGGATAAAAAGAGAAAGTTCAAGCACGCAAGTCCCCGAACTTGCTCCCTGATATGCCCAACAGAGGCTGGGTGCCAGGGGTGTGAACCCCTGAGGTGTGTGGGGACCAGATGTGGACACAGGGTTCATTGTGTGCATATTGTATATGTGGCCCGGGCCATGAGCAGTGGGTGCTTTGCAGTGTGTTACCCTCCACAGCCCCTTGAGTGGGGCTGTTCTGACATTGTTGTTGACAAGGACACTGGCACATGAGGTCTGTTTGCCAGGGTACCAGTGGGGCTGGTTCCAGCAGGATGTGGGTGGCTGAGGGCAGCTCATGAACTGGCGTTGCAGTTGCTGAGTGCAGCAGAGGGACCCTGGGTAGGGGCTGGAGGAGAAGCAGAGGTTCCGGGCTGACCACAGAAGTCGCCCGACACTGACTAGACATCTGGCCCCTTGGTGTTTGCACAGCCCCACAGAGTTGGGGATTGAAAGGCTTGGAGCCTGTGGAGCCCTGCTGCCGGCAGACACATGGCTGCGATCTCAACACCCACCTAGCGTCCACGTGCTGGTTCCAAGGGTTGGGGTGGAGCTGAGTAGACAGGGCCCCTCGCCCCTCATGGGATCTGGCAGGAAGGAGCTGCTGACCCCCTACTCCCAGGGGCACCATCTACCAGAGTGTTCTCAAGTCATGTTGTAGTGTGGTGCAATTTCCAAATCATTTTATAACTAAACATACCAAATTTAAACCACTCGTTTAAATAGCATTAGCTTAGGAAGAGCAAACAGAGCCGTCCTTTTATAGCAGATTTAAAAGGCGTCTCTCCATCCTGGCCTGTTCGCCCTATTCCATGGCTCCTTCCTGCTTCCTTTCAGGGTGCCCTTCCCAGCATGGCCCCATCTCTGCTGTCTCTGCATCCCCACGGGAAGGCCTCTCAGCCCCCGGTTTGCACAGAGCCACATTTTAGGCTACTACCCTAAGTTGGTGGGTTCTATCCCCATCCGTCCATCCATCCATCTGTCCAGACTGTCTTCAGCACGCACTGTGGTCTGCCTTCCAGAGCAGGGGTCGGTGGGCAGTATCTGATGAGCATTGAGAAGGGCAGAGGGGATAGGGGTCAGGGTTGTGTGGGCCTCTGGCAGCCCTCCCCACCCTGGTTCTCTCCCTGGTGTCACCAGAGGCCCGCAAGAGGCAGGGGCCAGGTGGAGTTGGATCTCAGAGGTCCAGGTGGCAGGTGTCTGAGGGAATAAGAAGCCTGGGGACGTGGGGTGGTGCTGAGGGTGGCAGGCGGAGGGGGGCCCTGGGGTCTGGTGCTGACGTGGCCCCTCCCTGGCCGCGCAGACAAGCTGGATGAGGCCCTGGCTGCGGCCGCAGAGCCCACCCTGAGACCTGACATTGCGGATGCTGACTCGAGAGCAGCCACCGTCAAACAGCGGCCCACTAGCCGCAGGATCACACCGGCTGAGATCAGCGTGAGTCGGGTGCCTGCTGGGGCTGCTGGGCCTGTGTGTGGGGTCACAGGGTGGACCTGGGCATGTGGTGTGGGCTTTGTGATTGTGTGGTGGCTGTGGCCCCCCCTCCCTCCCTAGGACCCACCCCCGTGCATGTGGCCCAGGTAGGTTATTGTTGCAGGGACAGGGGACCTTGTGCAACATGTGGTGGTATTGGGTGTTCCCTGGGGGTCCTGCATACTGGTCACAAGACGACCCCCCTGCAGTGCTGGCCCAGCACTGCACCACAGGGCACTGGGACCCCTGAGGTGTGGAGGTTGTATCCTTTGTACTGGGGTGGTCTTTGACCCCACCTTTGGCCGGGCAGGGACCCTGAGGGCTCTCCCGGCACACTTGGCTCTCATCCATGGTTCCCGGTGCTCTGGAGGCCACAGTACAGCATGTCCCCCACGCCTTGGCCACACCTGAGCCTGCCAAGGCCTGATTCCTGGGTCCAGGCGCCCCTGGTGTGAGCAGGTGGGGTGTCCGGCCTCAGGTTCAGAAGCGGGATAGGTGGGCCTGGAGGAGAACTCAGGCACCAGAACCTTCGTGTCACTCTGCCCCCGCAGTCGCTGTTTGAACGCCAGGGCCTCCCAGGCCCAGAGAAACTGCCTGGCTCACTGCGGAAGGGTCTCCCGCGAACCAAGTCTGTAGGTACGGCCCGGCTGGATGTGGGCTGGGGGGCCGGGGGCCGTGCTGGGGTGCAGTGTCTGGGGTGGGACCTAGGGCCTGAGGACATCTGCCTCTCTGGTCCTCCCCACTGCTATCATTTGGCTCAGTCTCTTTACACCCCTCTCCCACCACCGGCACCAACCCAGAGATCTAGCGTGTTTGTGGGACAGCCCTTCCTCTACCTCAGAGGTAGGTTGCTGGAAGACACCTTGGGCACCACCCCCTGCTGTCCACCACCCTCTGCCTCTGGGCCACCCTCCTGACCTGTGGTTGCCACCACCTTCATGCTGTGGCCCCCCAAGGACACCAGCACCTCTTTCCTTCAGGTCTGCGTCTCCATTTCTTGGCTGCTCCCCCTTGGCAAAGTGCACGTTAAGTCTCTGATCCTAAAAATACTCTTCCCTGGAACCCGCCTCCCCCTCTGGCTGTTGCTCAGCATCGCCCCTCCCCTTCACAGCCACTTTTCTCAAGAACAGCCCCCACTGGCTGGCTGGCTGCAGCCCTCAGCCCTCCCCAGCCTTGGCCGCTGGCTGCCCACACCCACACTGATGCCATGCTGGCCATGGCCTTGTCCCTGCAGACACACTGCCCTCCACGTCCTGTCTCACGGTGGCACTGGGCCCCATTTTCTGCACCCTTTTCCGTGCACCTCTCCTATGGGTTTGAGAGCAGCACTTCCTGTCCCACTTTCTCAGCTTCACCCCTGGAATGTTGGTGCTTCCCAAGGTTTGTCCTCAGACCTCTCCTCTCTCACTGACAGCCACGTGCTGCCACCCCGCCCTAGCCCTTCACCTCAGTAAATGTCCCGAATGCCAGCACCACTGTGATTGGACGCCCTTGCGCCTATCACACACATGGGTTGCTGGCTGCTTACAGTGACCCTGCTGAGGTAAGTACTGTGGGGAAACTGAGGCAAAGAGGTAGTGTCCTGCCCAAGGTCCCACATCTTCTATCCATTCACCAACCAGACTACTGCCCAAAGTCCGACCCTTCACCCACCTGGGGACTCTGTGTGTGAGCATTGACTCTGGGGGCTGAGAAGCCCCCCAGAGCACAGCTCCCACACAGTTAGGCTCAGAGAGGAGGTGGCTGATCCGCAGACCACTTCATGGTGGTTCCATGAGGCGGCATGCTCAGGTGCTGTGGGATCAGACCAGGGCTCCAGCCACACCCAGGTGGCATGGGGATATTGGGCTTAAATGCACAGGATGAATGTGACTTCCAGGGGGGACACAGTGTCAGTGTGTAAGAGTTACCCAAGTATGTGTGTATGTGGGGCCTTGAGGCTGGGCATGGACCCTTCCTCCAAAGGACCCCGGGTCTGAGCATCCCAGCAGGGAAGGGGGGAGCTCACCTCCTCCCCTTGAACTCCGAGACCTTGTTGTGTGCTCAGATGGCAAGATGACAGGCAGTCTCTCTGCCTGTCCCTTAGCCCCCAGCTGTCCCCATGAACACTGTCAGCATCGCTCCCTCAGCCCCACGCTGTGCCCTGGCTCTGGCCACAGTTTGACCCTTGGAGCCTCAGTCTGGATCCCTAAAAGCAAGACTTTAAAGAGCTGCTCTGAGGCTCTCTAGGGGACTGCCCACAAAGGTTTGGGAGGTGCCTGGGGCCCAAGGATAGTTCTGCAGCTTCTGAGGTTACCAGTGACATGGGTCCTGCATCTCAATGCCCTCCCTCATCATCCTCCACGTGGGGTCAGGACAGGCGTCTGTCCCATCCCCGGATGGGCATTGCCCTCAATCAGCTTGGTGTCCTCGGTATGACATCTCATGTCCCATATCTGCACATCCCCCAGCCTCTGGGCCCTTGGCTACACTGCCTGTGGCCTTGCTTATTGGTTTCTTCGGGAGATGTGTCCATGAGATGTAGGAAACACGGCCAGGGAGGAGAAGGGACAGCCAAGTACAGATGCTGTGTTGGTGGCAAGGGGAGGCTCAGCTGATGATCCGTGATCCATGGCATCCATGATCTCCTCTTATGCCCCCTGTTCATGTCGGTGCTGGAGGCTCTAATGGGCTTGTTCTCTCCACGAGGGGTTGGTGGTCCTCTTCTGTGTCCAGGGAACTGAAGCTCCAAGTACTTAGGGCGTGTTACTGGGACTGGCAGAGCTAGAATTCAGTCTCATACACAAATGAGGCATCTGCCTTGTGTCCCAGGGACGGGACTGGGGGCCAGTGCCCCATCCTCACACAGGATCTTACGAAGACCTCTGGGCCAAGTGTGAAGTGGGTTCTCTGTGAGCTGCCCGTGGGAGAGCTGAGGCTCAGAGGGGCTCAGGCTTGGGGTCCCATGGCCAAGAGTGGGTCAAACTCACCTTGGGCCACTTCATCTCCATCCGTCTGTCTGTGGATTCCAGCTGCCAGGCAGCAGGAGTGGTTATGGCCCTTGGCTGTCTTGGTGCTGGATCTGACTCCCTCGTGCCTTGTGAGGAGGAAGGTGGTGTCTGGTGGTGATCCTGTGCTGGCTCCTGGCCATCACTGCTCCCTTCCCGACCTCCCGCATCACCTGGCCAATGACGCCTTGTAGAATGTGCACCTGTCTCCTTGGTCATCCCCTGTAGTCAAGCCCCGCCCCCACCGCTGCCGCAGGTGGCTGGCGCCTCCCAGACCCACCCACGTGGGTATCTGCTTCCACCTGGCACCCCTCTCCAGGGCGGGAGCCCTGCGGCGGCCCCGCCTCACACTGCCCTCCCCCCATTGCAGGCCTCACTGTGCCGTTTCGGTCCCCCACGTGTGGATGGCTGTTCTGCCCCTACTCGTGGTCTGGTCCAGTCAGGGAATCAAGAGTTTGGGTCGTTTCAGGGAGCCTGCACTGTGGGGCCTCTCCGCTGCAGCTTACCTGCCCACCACATGGTGCCTAGGGCGCGGAGCACGCGGCTGCCTGCCCACCTTATGGGCTCTGGGTGCTTCTGTCCACAGGGGAGGACGAGAAGCTGGCGTCCCTACTGGAGGGGCGCTTCCCGCGCAGCACGTCCATGCAAGACTCGGGTCGCGAGGGCCGCGGGATCCCACCGCCGCCACAGACCGCGCCCCCGCCCCCGCCTGGCCCTTACTACTACGACTCGGGGCCTCCGCCCGCCTTCTCGCCGCCGCC